ATTGCCCAACCCTAGTGTTTAGCTTGTTCCTCAAATGATGCAAACAAAATTGTGCGCAGATCGAATCATGTATGTGTGATTTATAACCAACCGTATGCAAAACAGGTGGGGCTAAAAGGATCTCATTAAACTACAGTATTTTTCGGACTATAAGCCGCGACTTTTTTCCTGAACTTTGAACCATGCGGCTTATAGTCCGATACAGCTTATACATGGATTTTTTTCTTCAGCCACCAGGGGGCTCTTATGCTTCATTTGCTTCAACCACTCGCTTCAAAAAAAGAAAGGAAAAAAAAAGAAGAAAAAAGCGATCCTTCCAGAGCCGACTGTTGACCAGGAAGCAGCGATTTAAAGATAGTCAATGGCCAAAAACTCATAAAAGGGGATAAAACAGACATTTTTCACGGTGGAATCTGACTGATAAAAACTTTGGAGCTTAATCCAGGACCAGTTTGTGGATAAAAGTCAAGTGAAGAGCCGTGGACTATTTTTTTCCTCATTGCACTCCCCGGGGAAGGAATCCCATGCAGTGACTTATGCTGGAGCAGGAGGGCTTTCCCAGCACAGCTTCAGAGCCAGCATTACCCCGGGAGGACAACAGATACCGCTGTGTGACGCAGCTTTTCTCAGCTTGTTTAACTCCGACACTGAACAGATACCGCTGTGTGACGCAGCTTTTCTCAGCTTGTTTAACTCCGACACTGAAGAGGACTTCGATGGTTTCAGTGCGCCGGAGGACGATGAATGAGACGTTTTGTTGGATCAGAAACTGTTAAAGAAAACTACCAAAATAAGGCCAGTTAAATGAACCGTATTCCTCCGAACTTTAATTCTTAAATTGTTGCTTTTTATGTTTTGATGTTGAATTCACTTTTTTGACGGCAAATTTGGGTGTAGTTTTTTTTTATGTTGGGGGTGTGGCTTATAGTCCGGTGCGGCTTATAGTCCGAAAAATACGGTACTTGAACATTATTATTGCCTGAAWTTTTTTTTTGGAAAATAGGGACAGATATTACGGGATATTTTTCTTCTTTCTGCTGCCTTTCATTTTACTTGTGATTTGTATTTTTTGTTGTATACAGAAATTGTTTTGTTTTTTAAATGAAATGAATAATAATAAATGTATTTTTATTTTCCATTTTTGTTGACTCAGTAGGAAATAGAATGTAACAGCACATGACAATGGCAAAGAGCCTATAGAGACAAATAACAAAAAAAGGTTCAAGTGCTCCAGATAAAAGTCACTAACTAAAAAACCATCTGGGTGCTATGTTGAGAAACATATCTGTGATCCGTGTTTTCAATGGCCCCTAAACTGCCTCTTCCAGTGTCATCTTTTCCTTATCCAGTGTGTCTATGGAAGTGGGTATGGGTTTCCTTGATTAAGAGCAGCTTAGAAATCAAACAAATGTTTTTCCTCTATCTGAAGGAGGTGCCTGTGACCTGAGTCCTGGGCTGCCACTGCTGTGCATGGGACATCAGGATGGATATGTTTTTATGACCTATAATGATAACTCAAGAGATATCAGAAAAACACGAGGGTCCTTCTTTGTTTTTTTTTAGATATTCACATACTGTATTTATGGATAGGCATGGTCCAGTTACAAGAGTTAAAAAGTCATGGTGTCAAACCCACTACATTTAAACACTGTCATAACAATCATAAAGTCAAAATGACAAATAAAAAAGAATCATCACACCATTTTTACAGTTTAAATGCCTAATAAARAGAAAACAAACAATGTTGGATGTTTGTTTGTTTGTTTGTTTTTTTTTGGGGTGGGGGGGTTCTATTATGTTTGTTTCCTCTTTCCATGACCTCACCTGATGCACATTTTTAACAAAACGTTAACCATTGGTTGAATATTTTATCTAATGGATAACAGTCAGTTATGGCTTGTCTATCTGTAAAGCAATACCCAGCTTTCTTTTTAATACAATGTTATTTTGAAGTAAATGCTAACAACAAACTTAAAGATATTATAAAGTTAGCAGGTGAAATATGAAGCATACTTGAGGCTAGCTACTAGGGTTGGGCAATATTGGCAAAAAAATTAATCACGATTAATTGTGGTGTTTAGCTGATAACGATTAATTTGACGATTAATCCCCTGGACCCCCTTATTTCATGGTCACATGACCAATTTAGTGGGAAAGTTCATCAAAATCTGTTCCAAATTGTGTCAAAATTACAGACTTCAGGCTATACATCTAATTTTAAATTGTGTTGATAGATAAATAAATTACAGAACTTTTTTAATGTTTGTCATATTTGAAGCTGAGAGGAGCAGCAAGCGGATTCTACCTGTTGGCATTAATCGCATTAATTGTCAAGTGCCAAAAATTAATCGATTAATGTTTTTCTGACGATTAATCACACACGATATGATTATGCCCAACCCTACTAGCTACAGAGGTTAATAACCCGACTAACATTAGCTTATCAGACTCTAGAACTTTCTTTACAAAAGAGAAGAACAGCAACAGTAAAATGCTGTGCAACAGGCAAAAAAAGTTAAAATAATCAGGTTTGCACATAAAATGTTTGTTCTGGTTCTCAGGGGTGAACCTAGGGTTGTTACTTGGTGCTCACTCATATTTTCCTTCACTCATTTAACACATTTATCTAGAGGGGCGTCAGGTCATCTAACGTCCCCCTGTTCTGTTTTATGACTCCTATCAGCTGCAACGTCTCAGGACATCAGGTCAAATCAGTCCAACATGTTTTTATTTTATTCTTTTACTCTGCATAAATTTTGTAAACTACCTAAGTGGTCAAGGGGCTGGGTGTATGTCATATAAACATGACAAACTGAACATTTCATGGTTAAATGTCTTTTAGACTAACATGTCCCTCAGATGGACAGCTCCTGTAGTTTGACCTTCTGCATCTTCAGCTTTGGTCACTGTAAAAAATAAAAGTTGGCAGAACTCAAAATTGTGAAGCACAAACTTCAGGGCATTTTTAAGTTTTGGACTTCAACTTAAATATTTAAGTTTTGCTTCTGAGTTTGCCAAACTCGTATACTGAGTCTTCTACTTCACATGAAAGTAGCAGTAACTTTAAAATTTAAGTTGTACAAACTATGGATCTCATGTTTCTCTGACTACAGATATTATACATTTTAACAACTATAAATCCTGCATACAGTGAACTTCATTGTGAGTTGCAGTAATTTAAATTTCATCATTGCTTCAATGTTTTTTTTGTAGGAAAAAAGTTTAGCAGAGCATTATCTGCTACTGTTGACTACATTAGCATGACCATGTGTCAATATAGACAACAGCTGACTCAGCCATCAGKATTGGTCAATGATGACATTTAATTGGCCCGGCCATTTTCCCCCTATATGTCTGTGAGACAGACCTCTCACTCATGGTGTCAGCTAACAGGAACAAAAACTCAACACAGATGCCAAATCAAGCCTGAATGTGACAACAGAACACAACTCAAAATGGTTCATAAATCACAGATTAAAGTGTTTGTCTTTTTCAGAGGTGAATTTTCACAAAATTATCCATTTCAGCAACAAAGAGGCGGAGCCAGAACTCTGACATCTGAGCTGATAG